GCGACATATAAATCAAGATGCTATGACCGAAAAAAATTTGATTGACAGATGACCGTTAATATAAGATTGGCCGAATTTAGGTCTGGCCGGCATAAAATAACAGATTTTAAGACAGTTTTTTTTTATTTTTTTTTATAGAAATTTTCTAACTTTTGGGACAATAAAATCTGATACAGAGTACATTTATATATATGTTTAAGCCAGAATGATTTGACATGAAATATGATTTTAAAGCACAAAGAACAAATTCCGGTTCAGCAAACAGGACCATCTCTGTTTATCCCTCCTTATCTCATGTGTTTGGGACCAGAAATCTGCAGCCATCTCTCCTCTGAGGCAAGAAGTCGCTGAGCAGAAACAGGAAATAGCTGCATTGTTTATTGGTGAGCAGCTGGACGGGTAGATCTACACAGCAGGGGGAAGGAAGAGATAGCAGACCCAATATACTCCCCTGAGATTATTTTGGGTCAGCAGCTCCCCTTTAAGCCGTCCCTCTGAGTGAGGCGACAGAAAAAGAAGCGTAACGCTGAGAAAGGGTGAAGGGCGGCAGCGGGTACCTGTTTGCGCGCCTGGTTGAGGCCGTGCAGACGCTGCTGGAGCTCGCTGCGGTAGTTCTGGGCCGCCTCAATGCTCTCCTTCGCCTCCTGCAGCAGCAGGTCCACCTCCACAGACATCCTGCCGCCCCCTGACACCAGCAGCACAGATTGTCATTTAAAACAAACCAAAACAAAACCTGAAAGCAAACATGTGTAAAATGATAGCAGCATAATGTCAGACGGCGGCTATCATGTCCCGCAGAACCGGTTTCATATTCACTGCATTCTAACATCTCTGTTGTGTCTCTGATGAAAGGATATGAATTCAGTCATAACAAAGGACAGGCGATACAGCAGGACCAAAAAATAAACATTTAACATATCACTACAGCTCATTCACTAAAAGGGAAAGTCACTACGACCTGCTCACGGAATAGAAATGCACCGATCCAATACGCGGAGCGGAAATTAGGATCTTGATCAGATACAGGATGAATGACGCCGATAAAGTTCTTTCTTCTTTTTATTCAATTTAATTTAGTTTATTTCTATGGCACCAATTCAGAACACGTCATCTCAAGGCACTTTACAATTAAAGAGATTATAGTCAAAATGATTGTATGTTGTATGATTTTATTCCCTTTTCGGGCCAACTTTCCAGTCATGCGAGAATTTTTTGGGCCGACTTTCATTCGGTACTGGTCCGTTGGTCATTTGGTACCGGGCCGCACAGAAAAAAGTTATATATATATATATATATTTATTTATTTATTTATTTATTAGGGATGCACGATATAATCGGCCCCCTATCGGTTTCGGCCTTAAAACTGAATATCGGACATCGGCCACCCCACCGATATTTAACCTGATATTTGATCAGCTTCTGAGTTTCTAAAGTCTAAAAGAAAAAAAAAAGTACTACTTCTTCTTCTTCCTCAAAAACTTCATTTTTACAGACTTAAAAACTTCTAAAGACGAGGGAAAAAATATTGATACAATAAAATATCCCAATATGCTGATATATTGCCATTTAAAAACACCATATCAATCTCTTTTACTAATGAAATATTGCTATATGTCATCGTTATGCTACGAAATCCCCCGAAAATTCACCAAATGTTGCCATATTTTTATATGTTGATATATTGATGCGGTATCGATCTATTTTACTAACAAAATCTCACAAGAATTTGCAAAATATCATGAGAGTTTGTAACAGAACGATGAAATTTCACGAGATTTTCAAAGTAAAATAGATCGATACCGCGTTTTTAAAAATCTATTTGATATCAGCATATGAAAATTTAGTATATTATTTTTCAAAGTGTCAGAAATGGATAACAAAGCTGCTATTTTCAATGACTACTTATTTTTGTCCAGCTTTAACATCGGTATCGATATCGGTTATCGGCTACATGAGTTTTAAAATATCGGCATATCGGATATCGGCCAAAATCCCAATATCGTGCATCTCTAATATATATATATATATATATATATATATATAAAATTTATCGACGATCAGAGTCTTAGTGATGTTTTATTTTGAAAAATATAAAAAATTGCGGTATTCTCTCCCAATTCCATCAGTCGGTGCATCTGTGCCTCGTGACACAGGTTAATTCAGTTCAAACTCAGGATTTTCTGCAGTTACAGTGACCAAAACAAGCTACGGAGCAGACAGGACATCAGGAGCACACTTTGTGTGTCATTGTCTCCGATTACGCCTAGATGGGACCGGCTTGTTGTTTTATTTTTATGCTGTTTGTATTTGATTTTATGCCAGTCGTATCATTTTACTTGATCGCATTTAACCCCCCCGGCCAGTCTGTGAAAATATTGTCTGACATATAGCGGTACGTGGTGCAAAAAGGTTGGGGACCGCTGGTATAGTGTACAGGGGGTAACGAGGGGCGATGAGCCGCTAACGAGCACCTCCCCATCAGGAACGGTGAGGTCGGGAGAAAATCAAACATGTTTGAAATTCAGTCGACCGTCATAAGGTGGTCCTGGGCAAATCGCTCAGTGTGCAAACAAGGATTCTTCTTTTTCTTCTTCTTCCTCTCAGATGTAAACACAGGAGCATGGTGGCGGGGTTACAAGTGATATTGACAGACTGTAGTCGCCATGTTGAGTTCGAGGCTTTATAGAGTGGACCAAAAACAAAGCCTTGTTTTGGTTTAGAAAACATGCAAATAAAACTAGAAGAACGCCCCCCCCCCCCCTTTGGAATGGGGGTCATTTGGCTTCTTTGTTAGCCTGCAATGCCCCATACCTGTCTATGTCTCTGCAACAGGTGAGGTGGTTTGGTGCTCTGTAAAGGGGTGGGTGATGCAATGATATATTTTTTACTTATTCTTAGGACTGACAATGACCTGATGACAATCTTCACCAGAACTCTAACCACCAGCCAACATTGCATTAATAATTTCTGCTTTTTTATTCCCTGGTTTTATTGACAATACTCTGCCACAAGTACAGAGCAGTGAAGTTAACTATCTGCATTTAACCCCTCCCCTTGGGGAGCAGTGGACTGCCACTGTGTGGCTCCTGGGGAGCAGTGTGGGGGCTCTTTCCTCAGGGACCCAGAGTGTCAGTCTGTGGGAGTGGGGCTCAAACTCAGACCCTCAGTATATCAAGCTCTATGCCCTAACCACTAGGCTGCCACTCCCATGATATAATAATACCAATAAAAAGCAATTAATATAATATTAAATATGGTTAAAAAAATAACACTAAGAAATGAAAGTGCTTAAATGCAACAATTTGATCAAAAATATTGATTTTCAAAGATAATACCTATAAATCTGAGAAAGAGACATTTGAAAAATATGACAAATATAATAGTGTAAAAAATAAAATCTAATAAAGCAAGGTGAAGATAATTTTCAAATAAAATGTTTTTCAAAAATTTCATTTCTGGATTTGCATTTTTTTTTCAGTTTTTAATTCCCGTTTACAAAATATGCACTTTGTTTACAAAATTAATGGAGCAAAGTTCACTCCATACAAATGATAATCAGAGGACCTGCTGATTTTCTGCTTTTGCTACAATAGAAGCTAAAAAAACAAAAACAGACGACAACAACCTGTAGAACATTTTCACAGCCGTCTACCGAAAAAAAAAAAAAAATCTCACTTCCTGGTTTTAACCACACAACTACAAACCTCCCTATTAGGTAAAGAATCCGTCCAACATGGCAGCAGCAGGTACCTCTGCGCTGAATCCATTTCACCGACTTTCCTCTCTGGGACACAACTGTACAGATTAGTGAATTTCCGCCTTTAAAAGATAATCAAAGGTCACAGAAATAACCTCGAGTCTCTTTGGTTGTTTTGGCTGCGCATCGATGTCAAAGCTACCGGCTGGGCGGGAAACGATAACACGTGGAACAAAGCAACGTCAACAGCTGCTTTATATCTTTAAAGTCTGAAGGAAAGCGACTCAGCATTATGAGCAGAGAGGAAAGCAAAGGCAGCCTGGCAAACATCGTCCAGGACAGTTTTACAAACTAATATTTGAACCATTTAAAAAAACTAACAGATTTACACAAAGCTATAAAAGTGCAAATATTTAGTGGAAATAAGAAGCTAATCTGCACTGAAATAAACCAGACGATCCATCCGTGTTTATCCATCTATGCATTGTTGGACGGAGCAAAAGAAAAAATGGATTCTTTAATGTTTTTAACCTAAAACCTTCCAGTTATCATTCAACCCTTTTCTCCACCTGCCAGCCTGATTCTCAGGATTCAGACCCTGATTTTAAACCAGGAACAGATAAATTAGATGCATTTCTGATTATAAAAGCCCATCAGTCTGTAAAGTGATGGAAAACGTCGTGGTTTTTGCGTCTTTTCGCAGCAGCAGCTGCTGCTTTGAACCGTTTCATCGTCTCTTGTGCTGTTTTCACGTCGCCTGAAGTGCTGCTCTGCGGTCGGCCCCTCGCTTCCTTCACAGCATCTAAAGAGGAAGTCGCCAGCAGGCATCGAGCTTCTGCCGTTTTCAGAGAGAGAAATCTCCTGCAGAGACGGGCCGTTGCTGACCACGCCCCCCCCCATCAATGACCAGAGATGGCCGCTTCCTCCTGGACGACCATCTCACGGTCCCCGCATCTCCATCCAGCAGAGCATCTCTGGGATTATGGAACCAAGTTTGGTCCAAATATTGTGGCAAGCTAGGAAAACATTTTGTAAATGGAAATTTAAAAATAAATTTACTTTTTTTTTAATCATAAAAATAAGATTTGAAGTTAAATTTGCTGTTTTCTCAGTTTTTTTATTAAAAATCTTTTTTTAATTTTAGTTTTTTAAATGTTTTAGAGATTTTATTTTTTCAAATTATATATTTTAAAACGTTTTTTAACAGATTCTATATCTTCAAAGATTTTTTTATTTCAGTTTTTCAGACTGAGTTTTACGAATTGCATTTTTTTTTAAAAAGCGTGAATGAAAAGAATCTGCTTTTATTCTGAAACTCTACAGTTAGTCTATGACATCATGCTGATTAAACAGACAATTAATGGCGAGTATAAATGACTAATTTAAGAAAAACACAACAAAAACTATAATTTTTTCTTACTTTCATCTCTCCCCGTAATAAAATCTGAAAACTATGCAGAGGATGGTAGGAAGGTTTTCTACTGAACTGCTGAAAGTTGCTTTTATCTTGCAGATTCATTTCATTATTTATTTTTTAGATTTAAAAAAAATAATAATTTTTATCTGGGGAACTCTGCTGCCTGAAAACATTAAAATAGGTCCAAACTCTATTTCTAATCTTTTCCCTTAAGGGACGATAAAAGTTAGCTTTTATCTCATTAGCATAATATTTAGGGCTGAAGCAATTAATCTGATTAATCGGATTACCGTATATTTCGGACTATAAGTAGCACTTTTTTTTCCATGGTTTGGCTGGCCATGCGACTTATACTGTGGTGCGACATATATACGTTTTTTTCCACCACGAGAGGGCGCTATGTAGCTTTGCATGCGACAACATGTATTCTATTAAAACCACTGAAAGAAAAAACGTTCCAACTTATCACAACAAAACAAATTAGCATGAAAACAACGACTGAATAGAAATATGCCACCCAAAAGAAACTGATATACTGTTGAATTCAAGCTGAAAGTATTTAGTCAAAAATGGCAATAGAGCAGCTGAAAAACTGGTAAGGGACTGGAGAAAAGCGAAGGAAAAGTTAAAGGTTATGAAAAAGACAAAAAAAAGCTAACCAAGGGCTAAAGGCTAGATGGCCACGACTAGAGGAGGAGCTGTACAAATGGGTCCTGGAACAGCGCGCTGCGGGTCGAGGCCTTTCAACTGTACGACTGGCGCGTTATCACTCCTTCTCAGATGTTTGTTCATAAAATAAAATAATGCGTTCTTCCAGCAGTAGCCTACCACGCGTTATCAGAACACAGATTCCATGGATAGAATAACCTTTCAAAAAGGTACAACGTTTAATCCGGTGCGACGTACATTCGTTTTTTTTCTTCATAATGCATCGTTTGGCTGATGCGACTTAAACTCCGGAGCGACGTGTATATGAAAAATACGGTAATCGTGATTACTCAACGCGGCCGACCCGGATTCAAATCCGGCCTGTGGTCCTTTGCCGCATGTCTCTCTTCCTCTCTCATACCCCCTTTCCTGTCAGCCTACTGTCCAAAAAACAACAAACAAAGAAAAAACAAGCGACTATTGCTGTAAAAACATAAACAATAATCAATTAATCATTAAAGCCGTAGGGAAGCGGCTGTTCCAAACGTTGCATTTCCGAATTCTCCCGAGTGGTGCCCGACTTTACATGAGTGAATAAAGTGAATGTGATTGGTCGTTTATCAAGGGGCGGGATTGATGTGGAGCAAGGTTCACAAGCAAGTGTCGTTGTAGCCGGTTTGTGGGAAACATCTTGCTAACCAGTTAGCAACTTAGTGCTAGCAGGTTCCCAATGGGAAATTCCATTGGGACCAAGTAGCACTAAATTGCTAACCAGTTAGCAACTTAGTGCTAGCAGGTTCCCAATGGGAAATTCCATTGGGACTAGGGGTGTGCAAAATAATCGTCATGACGATGCATCGCGATTCTAATTTTTGTGATCTACTGCATCGATTCTTGAAGGCAAGAATCGATTATAAAAATAAAAAAAAATGAACAAATAAAATACATGATTGGTTGCGCATATCAGCCAAATCAAGTGGAATACAACATCCAGTCCAGCAGATGGCGCTGTGGATGTGTTGACGCCTGCTGCTTTGTGTCACAAGCATGTCCGGCCGCGGGATACTGAGACGAGTCATTCGTAAACAGAATATGGAGGAGACTGAGATAATTCGCCCCGCGGCTCCATCACATTTCAAGTCAGATGCTTGGATGCATTCTGGCTTTAAAAACAAAAAAGGTAAAAATGAAATTGATATAAAGCACGCAATTTGCAAAAGGACCACTGAGGCCATGTAAACGGCACTGATTATCCTTATTTTGTTATTTTAATTTTTATGAATCCTAAGATCTTTTTGTCAGTGTGTCCACATCAGTAATAGTAATATTTCTGCCCAGTATTTGTTTCCATGGCAACACCTCCAAAAGTCATTTCAATAATACAGCTATGTATGAATTCAGTTGCTTTCAGTTATGTATCAATTGAAGACACAATCCAGATCACACAGAGCCAGTCAGCCACTGGTAGTGGCTGTATCTTTTTCTTACAGTGTTCAGTGAAAATATCGCGATGCATCGCAATATTTCAAGTATCGTGATGCATCGTGATAGAATNTACATTTATATGTTTAAAACAGAATGATTTGAAATTTAAATATGATTTCTCTAAGACTTTAAAGCCAGTTCCTGACAGGGGATGGACTATTTCTGGGTTAGACTGAGAGCAGATAGCTCACACAGTCCTTATATTTTCCTCTCACTTTCATCCCATTTTTTTATATCCAGATAAATAAGAGAAACTCTACATCAACCACCTGGTTTAAACACCTAAAGTTTGTCTGAGGAAGGAGTTTATCCTTGTAATGTTTAAACAAAAACGATTGACGGGGTAAAACTAAATGAGGCGTCGCACACAGATTTGGATAACTCCTCCGTATCTGAGTTTACACTGACATGAATGCAAATACGGGGCGATAGAAATATGCAGGCATGCAGTCGCTGGCTCAGTGGCTGCGACATAAACAACACCCACTGCTGTAACGTGGCCTGTCTCTCCTGACAGAGGTCGTTCAGGAGCAGCAGAACAAGAGCAGAGGAGATCCAAACTCCCAGCCGGTTGCTGCAGGCTGCTCCTCATTGGAAGCGTGACAAGAAACAACTGGATTTCTGCTTCACGCTGTCAGAGTCGATGTCCCAGTAAAAGATTCAGAGTATTTAGGTCAGCCTGAATGAAGTGGATCCCTGCTGCCATGTTTTCTCAGCTCCGATAGGCTGTTTGAATTATGAGCTTACAACCAAAACATGTAGAGGATACAACTAAAAGCTGCGGGAAGATGATGGCCTGCTGGGAATTTCACCATTTATCTATTAGCAGCTCTTTCCCCCCCCCTAACAGCACGTTCAAACTGCTAAATCACTCACAAACTGCCGATGCATTGCAGTTAAAGATTGTTTTGGTCTCAGAAACCTCCTGCAATACATCCTCTGACTAACGGGAAAGTTATGACAGGCACTCTGCTGCAAACTCTCACAATTATTATTACTGCAATGACGAAACCAGACGACGAGAGAAACAGAACATGTCTAAACTCGATCAGGTCGACTTCCGTGTTTTTCAGCCATTTGTCAAGTTAACCCTCCACCCACCGCTCACATCCACCCTAATAAATCAGCATTATTTCATTTATAGCAAGAAAGCAATAGGAGGTGCCTTTTTGTTGAACCCAGAGAACAGAACTCCATAGGAAAAACGAGCCTTTTAACGTTTCCTCCAGTATTTACAAACTGTGGCATCTCTTATTACAAAAAACAACTTTGATTTTAAATAAATAAAATGTTTAGAAAAATTTGGCTCACATTCTGTAGGGAAACCAACAAAATGACTCATAAGAGGCGACGTAAAAAAACAACCGGAGGAACAAGCTGATCTGAAGTTGGCATCTGAGCAAAGAGCTGCATCTGTTTAGAAACCTAAACTTTAGTTTATCTAGATGATTTAAAAACTAACTAAACTTTTTTAAAAGCTGCCAATTATACTTTAATGCAGTTTTTATTTTTTGTTGATCAATAATCAAGTATGGAACAATAATAAAAACTTAAAGTCAATTCAAAACCTGCTGGTTTAGTCTAAAAAAATCCATTATTGCTAAACTTTTACTGCAACAGATGCGACAATATTGATATTTATTAATATTTAATCAGGTCTGTATTAAGCTTAGGCATTTCTAAACAACAGAGATACTTTAAAACAGTTTCAGAAACATTAGAGCACTTATTTAGAATAGAAATAGTGATCTTAATGCTATTCATTACTCAAGTCAAAGTTATTATAAACATAGATGGTATTTAGCTGTATAGGATACTGTATTTAATGTATTTGGGAGCTTGACAGCATTGATTTCAGATTGAAAACTGCAACTCTAAGCCTGAAACTGTCCCCATGACACAAACCTTAATTTAAATAATCTTGTTTTAGTAGTTTTAGAAAATTCTAATGATCAGAAACGCTATAGCTGAGAGAAATATCAGCTGTGCTGCTGCCAT